GCTGTGTAGCAGCCTCCAGAGTACTCCTCTTCACACCAGTTCTTCTCCTCATAGTGCACCGGCTGCAGGAAACAAGCAGACACATGAGCAGTCAGTCAAGTGATTCCACAGTATCCACATGACTGTGTACCACTCTGCACCCAAACTCACATGCAAAGCCTCATCTGTGCCCAGCACTTTGGAGTAGATCTCACAGATCCTCCTCAACCTAAACACAACAACACAGGAGTTGGGATTAAACTGATCTCACAGCTCGTGAGAGTTTTTTCCCATCTCTGTCCACTGGTGTCTACCTTTCTTCCTTGGACAGGCTTGAGAGCTTTCTGCACTTGTGGGCAAGGATGAATCTGGGGGGAGAGTGAAAAGAGAAAACACTACATGAGCATGTGTGGCTGGTTGGATGACTTTATCACTTGTGTTTAGCTCCATTCAAGCACAAGTCCTACACTGTATAGAAATTCTTGTAGGAGCTCATGCGAGAATACTAGGTCAGAGTCAGATGGTAAAGCTGAGACACAAGCCTACAGGCCAGTCAGTAACCCTCTGATAATCACTAGTGAAAAAAATGTGTATTCCACCCTAATGATGACTAAAGCACTCATCATGGTGCAGCATTGTATACTTCTTTGGGGCTGCTGATATCACTTAGCGCTATCTGGCAACCTCCAGTAACCACTTGCCAACCAATCTTATAACTCAGGTCTGAAAGCTGTCCTGTGGCAGGCAAATATTTTTGGCGATGTAGTGTACAATATGGAATCATTATACAAAATATACACAATTACAGAGAACTGTTTGAAGCTCTGTACCAACCCCATAATACAAGGTACAGTCCCATCAGGCTTTGTGTCATCCAGGGTGAAGCCGATGGGAGCGCCCTCCTCCTCTATCACCATGCTGCCGCAGTAACCTGGTAACACAATAAAACGTTAGAAATGGCATCATCTTGAACAGCATTCGCTCTCTCTGTGTTTTCACTTCCTGCGTACCCTTTTTCCTCCAGAAGTTCTCTCTGTAGTAGACCATGCACTTTATGACAGAGCCCATGGGAACACGGTTGATCAGCTGGTTCCTCAGCGGGGGCAGCTCAGGGTTGAAGTGCATCTTCAGATTCAAAGCAGGTGGTGTGGCCACGATCACATACTTGGCCTAACACAGAGACAGAGACAGTACACAGTGCGT